ATTTAATAGTTCTTTTGTTGTTCTGATTTATCACTCAATTCATTCTATCATTCATGTAATCCTCTCCAGAGAAAACTCCTTTTTCTTGAGTGTCCTTTCTGGATACATATTTATAAGCAAATAAATTTGTGTGTCTTTTCTCCTTTTAAATACAACCAAAGATTACTATAGTCTTTCTATAAATTCTATACTTTACATTTAATAATATAAATAATATATAAAATGTTTAATAATATAGCTTTGAGATCTTTCAAATCAGCACAGACAGAGCTGCCTCATTTTTATAGTATTTCTTTGTAAGGATATACTATGTTTAATTTCACTGGCCCTCTAATGATGAATAGTTAGGCCATTTTCAATTATTTGTTCTTGTAAACAATGTTGTAACCATATAAATATTATTTCTTATATTCATGGAAAAATTCCCCAAAGTGGAATTTCCAGGTAAAAAGAAAAACATATTTGTAATTTATCAGATATTGCCAAGTTGTCCTTTTTCCTTTGAAGTTATATCAACTTATATTCTTGATGACTTTTGAGAGGACATGTTTTCTTATATCTTGTAAAATAAATAAGGGAGAACGTTGGATAACATATTCACCAGACCTGCTGGGAAAGCATTTATTGGGGAAAAAAGTCATAGAGACAGGAGCAGTAGCAAGAATGTGGTGTAGTATATGTATACCATGGAAAACTATTCAGCTATTAAAAGATGGAGATTTGGTGTCTTTTGTAACAATGTGGATGGATTTTTTTTAAACTTTAGATTAATATGAGGGTACAGATGATTAGGTGACATTATTTGTGCTTGTTAGGTAAAGTTCAAGTTGTTGTTGAGTCCTTCATCCAACGGATGTACTCTTACATTGTGCCCATCAGGTGAGAGCTTACCAATCCCCCTCCTTCTTTCCCTCTTCCCTTTCCCTTCACCCCTTCTCCCCACTTATATTTAATTGTGTTTTTCTGTCATGTGGGGATGTAGTTGTTTATCTATTGGTTTCACATTAGTGTGGTTTTATATTAGTGTTGTGAACATTGTATACTTGCTTCTCTGTTCTTAGAAGAATGTTCTTCAACTTCATCCAGATTAATACAAAAGATGTAAGGTTTCCATCTTTTTATGGCTAAATAGTATACCATGGTATACATATACCACAGTTTATTAATCCATTCGTGAATTGATGGGAACTTAGATTGATTACACATCTTTGTGATTGTGAATTGGGCTGCGATGAACATTCTAGTGCCAAAAGTCCCTATGGTAAGATGATTTTTTTCTTCTGGGTAGATACCTAGTACTGAGATTGCGAGATCACATGGGAGGTCTACTTTTAGTTCTTTGAGGATTCTGCATACCTCTTTCCATAGAGACTGTATTAGTTTGCAATCCCACAGCAGTGTAAAAGTATTCTCTCCTCTCTACATCCATGCCAGCATCTGCAGCTTTGGGACTTTGTGATGTGGGCTGTTCTTACTAGGAGAGCGGGGTTAGGTGATATCTCAGGGTGGTTTTGATTTGCATTTCTCTGATGATTAGGGATGATGAGCAGTTTTTCCTGTGTTTGCTGGCCATTCATCTATTTTCTTCAGAGAAGGTTCTGTTAATGTCTCTTGCTCATTTCTGGATAGATTTGGAGAACATTCTCCTAAGGAAAATATCATAGGAATGGAAAAACAAGCATCACATGTGCTCAATACTAAATTGAAACTGTAGATTAACAACTACCTGCTCACTTGAGAGAAAAACTCAGTTAAATTCAAGAAGGGTGGAGAAGGGAGAGGGTTTGGCAAATTCCCACCCAAAGGAGCAATGCATGGATATACGGCATACTTCCTGGGTGGAGGAAACACCTACAACTTGGATTTTACCTTACAAACACAAACGATGTAACCTGATTGTGCGTAGTCTCTGAAATTAATCTTAATTTTTTAAAAAAAGAATGTATGTCCTCCATGACCATCACATTCAAGGAATCAATCTTGGGCAAGTTAAACCTTACTTATCAGAATGTTTTTGGTCTCGTCCAATCTGATAAGAGAAAAACGGTTTTGTGCTATTGCTTAATTTGTATTCCTCTAATTAAGAGCAAACTGGATCCTATTTCTTGTTTTAAGAGATATTTGCATATTGTGTGAATGAAACATTGTTAATATAATTTCCCTGTTTTCTTCTTGAACTGTTGCTCTTTAAATATATGAAAGGTAGCTCTGGGCGGCGCCTGTGACTCAAGGGAGTAGGGCACTGGCCCCATATGCTAGAGGTGGCGGGTTCAAACCTATCCCCGGCCAAAAACTGCAAAAAAAAAAAAAAAAGCTCTTTATGTATTAGAGAGAAATGGCCCTTTGTCCCTGGTTTCAGTTGCAAATCTTTTTTGATTATGCTTATATCAATTAAATGTATTAATTAGAGATCAATCCAGGAAGCAGAAACACAATGAGTGCTTAGTACAATTTATTATAGGAATTGAACTTTAAAGTATATTTGAAGTGAAAGGAACTGGGAAAATAACAATCTGAAAGGGAACAGAGAAAAGTCACTGACCAGCTCTGTCTGGCTTGGGTGCAGAAAGGCAGGTAAGCTGTGAAGGTGGCTGATATGGCAATCTGTAGGGTTATGGATTATTTCTGACTACCACCTCTGGGAGTTTACAGAAACCTTCTGGTCCCTGCTGGTCAGCCGGGTGGCAGTCAGGAAGGAGAGCTCTAAACAGAGCAAGAAAAAGCAGTGATAGAATGGAACTCTGCAGAGCCCTTCTCTGTCTACTCTCTGCCTCCAAACTTCAGAGCATGATGGCTTCACTCATTCCTTGCAACTAATCACACAAATTCCCCTTGTGGCCAACCCTCACCTGGAACTTTATGGGAAATGGGATTTGGGGAAATGTTCCAGTGCATCATTGAATTTTAATGGATCCATTATGTTTGGTGTTTTATTTCTATTTTCTATATTTTGAGTCATTCTTACATTATTAAAATCTTCCATTTCCCCCTAATAATGTTATAGTTTAATTTTTACATTTAAATGTTTTATTTACTTAGAATTCATTTTCGCAAAGTATATGAGGCATGAATATAACTTATTTTTTCTAGATAGCTATAATATTGACCGAATAGCATTCATTGAATTTATTGAATAACATATTTTCCCATTCACATAAGCTGCTACTTATACCATGTACTAAGTTCCCACATTAGTTTAGCTCAATTCCTGGACTTTTCATTTCTTCATATTGTCCTGGCTTGCTGTTCTTGTTCCAGGACAAACCTGTTTATAGTGTTGGGGCTTTATCTGTATTGCTGGAAGACACAGTCCCTCTTCACAGATTTTCCACCTGCCCTTCTTGCTTGTTTTTCTATACAAATCTTAGAACCAGTGTAATATTTATTTATAAAATATCCTATTGTCATTTTTTGGGTTGGGAATTGCTATAATTTATTATGTGGTATCATAGGGATTATTATTTAGGTATAAATAACATCCTAATGTTAAGGAATATTTCAGTCCAAGAACATGACATGATGACATGTTTTTCCACTTATTCAAATCGTATTTTGAATCTTTCAACATATCTTAAGGTTTTATTTATGAAGTGAAGTTTTTTAAGATAGGTTGAAATGTCTGGTCCCATTCATCTGTGGAGTGAATTTTAACTTCCATTTACTTTTTGTGTTTCTTTCATTTTTTTCTTATAGAATCCTTGTATATATCCTGTGCTCGTTTGTTTTTCAACCCTTTTGTGGGATGTTTTTTCTGTTTTTGAAATAGAGTCTTGCTCTGTTGCCAAGGCTAGAGGGCAGCAATATTATTATTGCAGAACTCACTGCAATTTTAAACTCCTGGGCTCAAGCACTCTTCCTACCTCAGCCTCCTGAGTGGCTGGGACTACACACACACACCACAGTGCCTGGCCGATTCTTCTATCTTCTGTAGAAACAGAGACTTGTTACGTTGCTTAGGCTGGTGTTGAACTCCTGGGCTCTAGCAATCTTCCCACCTCAGCCTCCCAAAGTATTAGCATTATAAAACAGTAGGGAGCCACCGTGTCAAGCCTGTTTTTGAATGCTTGAAGGAAATGAGTTTTTGCTGAACTAGGTATTTGCAAGATACCTGTATCAGAAGAGACTAAGTTAAGATCATGTTTCAGGCTAGCAGGAATGTATCTTGTGATTCAGACTTGGAGGTAAATTATTTTAGGCATTACTTGGCTATGATCAATGTAGATAGGAAACTGTAGAACTGTTAGGGTATATTTTCCTTATTTCTCACCTCTCGTCTCATGCCTTCATAGTCTTGCAAGTATAACTTGCCTGTGTATGTGATTCTTCATTTAGGCTTTTCTCTGCTTCTTGTATGCAACTCAGGACCGCAGAAGATCATGGTCCCCTATTTTGCACTCCACTCCCATCAGGACACATAAGGGATTAGGTTTTGTTCTTCATTGGTAGGCCGCTGTCTTTAGAGAGAGTTGTACTTATCTTTGCCATGACTTCCCTCTCTCTACTTCTCGCCACTCTTCTATTTGATCTCCACTGTCTTAAAACCATCCGGTCTAGTTTATGGATTGGGTTTTGGATATTTACTTGATTCCGTAAGTTTGTCTTTGCTTGTTTTACAAAGGGAAGAGTTCTGAGAAGAGAAAGTTCCAGATTTACTCTGCCATGTTTAAACCAGAAGTATACGTTTTGCTTTCCCCCGCCCAAGGGTTTTGTCCTTCATAATTGCTATCAATAGATTCTTTCAGCTAGCAGAGGGAGAGAGGTCCAGAGTGGCAATACCATCTGTTTTTATATCAGGGAATAAAGTAAAGGTATTGAGATAAATGTAGTGTGAATATTAATAAGCATAGGGTGGTCTAAGGAATAGAAAAGTCCTTACTTGGAAAGAGGGAACTTAGCAGAGGGTAAGCACGTAGAACAAGGTCTATCTCTTCTTTTTGAATAAATAAATAAACTAAGAAAACTGATTCTTTTCCTCCATGGATGTTTCTTTGCAGAAACTCATGCAGATAAAATCTGGGGTCAATGGAACAGTCATTACTGAGTTCATCCTGCTGGGCTTGGTGGAGACACCGGAGCTGTGGCCAATTGTCTTTGTACTCTTCCTCTTTGCCTACCTGGTCACCATCGGGGGCAACCTCAGCATCCTGACTGCCATCCTGCAGGAGCCCAAACTCCACACTCCCATGTACTTCTTCCTGGGGAACCTGTCGGTGCTAGATATGGGTTGCATCAGTGTCACTGTTCCCTCAAGGTTGAGTCGACTCTTGTCCCACACAGGTACAATTTCCTACAGATCCTGCCTCACACAGGTCTTCTTTTTCCATTTGCTTGTTGGGGTGGACTGCTTCCTGTTGACTGCCATGGCCTATGACAGATTCCTGGCCATCTGTCGGCCCCTCACCTAT